TTTGAAGGTTAACATTAGTTAAATTAGCTAGCATAAAGCCAGTGTGTCCAGCTCTGCTATATGTGATGTGTCCAGAGCTTCCAACAGACTCGAGCATCACCTCTGCTCTCTACAGTTAAGTTAAAGTAAAACCTTCACGGGTCTCCAGAAAACAGTAATGAGCTGAAGTAACATGAAAACAAAATTTTAACTCGTTATCTTTAAGTTATGTTAACATAATCCTACTGAAGATCTGCCTGAAAAGTAAGTTCCGTAATTTAAACAGTAACCAAATGCTGTATGAAGTTAATCCAATATTTAACTTTAAACTTCATCACCTAAAAAGGCACCCACAAACCCCATCCTTCCCGAGGTACGAGTTAAGTTATTTAAGGTGCCTAGTTCTGCTGGAAGTTTCTTCTTGATGGTACTTTAATTCTCAAAAAACACTTGCTCACAGGGCATCATATATTTGTCGGGATTTTCTATGTATTATTCTTATTGCTTTACTAGGGATGGGAATTTAGATGAATTTAACGACTCTGATACCTTTTTACCGATATCACTTAAGGATTCGATTCCTTATCAGTTCTCTTATTGATTCTCATTGGGTTCTTGCCCGCTCCGCTTTGAGCGTTACCACCATTACTAAGCAGCATATCAAACATTACATTTGTGCAAATTAGGATTAGAATTAGAATTCAACTTTATTGTCATTGCACATTGTCATTGTCATTTGGATGCATTTCCTCAGTGTTGGGTCATTACTCAAAAAAGTAATGTAATAATAATAATAATAATAATAATAATGGATTGGATTTATATAGCGCTTCACAATACCACTATTCATTCACTCTCACATTCACACACTGGTGGAGGCAGCTACAGTTGTAATTTATTTTGGGTTTAAAAGTCCTGTTTCTGTCCATGTACAAAGGTAGATTTTTCTTTATCCGATTTCAGAATTATTGGGAGTAACCAGAATCTGTGTGATATCCACTTGGAATTCTAAATGTCATTTCTATTGTTACATTTTTTATAAATTGTGTTTATAAACACAAAAATGTGACAACTCCATAATGATATTAATAAAAATGGTTTAATATATTAGAATTTTCTTTCTCAGATCAAGTCCATCATTAACTCACTTTGATCTCCCCATCTGATAGTTGATTAGAGTGAGTAAAAGTAAAAACACATTAGGAAGGTTTCTGTTCCTTGCAATCATAATGAGAAGGAAGTGAAGGAAGGAAATGTGAGCAGTGTGCGGAAACAGGCCACTTCCTGTCACAGTAAAATGTTCTGCATTTCTTGAATACAATTAAAGCAAATCAGCTGGTACTACCATAAAACTCAAACTCATGACAAAAATAAAAAATAAAACAAAAAACAAACAAACTTACCTTTGGTTAGATTGTATATGGCCCATGAGAAGAACATTTATCTTCAATCTGAATTTCCCTTCTTGATTTGTTTAAATTGTTATTTATTTTAAATTGTGTTTGACAGGTGATATAGTGATTAAAACCACTTTAAACAGCATCAGGAACAAAGCAGATTCATCCAGGCAAACACTGAGCATCCTCAGGCCTGAGGACATTAATCTTTGGTTTTAAAAAAAAAAAAAAA